CCTCACCCCGCCGTTGTCCATGTCCATTGGTTAGGCCTATATGCTTACATATAAGTCCTTGGTTCATGCTTGTGTCTTAATGCCCCACCAGTTCTGCCGTGTCTCTGGATGGGGCAGGTGTGTGTGTATGCACAGCTACACTTTGCTTGTTCTGCTCCCTCTGCTCAGCTGCATCCTCCAACTCTGCACATGCAGCCCTGTGTGCATGCCCTACTGCTTTTTGTCCACCCTTAGAGCAGGGTCTGGGTGGGACTATGCATGGTTCATGCTTGTGTCTTAATGCCCCACCAGTTCTGCCGTGTCTCTGGATGGGGCAGGTGTGTGTGTATGCACAGCTACACTTTGCTTGTTCTGCTCCCTCTGCTCAGCTGCATCCTCCAACTCTGCACATGCAGCCCTGTGTGCATGCCCTACTGCTTTTTGTCCACCCTTAGAGCAGGGTCTGGGTGGGACTATGCATGCCTGTTTCTCAATGACCTACTGACTCTGCTTTTTCTCCAGGTGGGGCAGCCTTTCATGCATACAGCAGCACCCTACTCACTCTGCCTGGGGCAGCCCTGTGTATGCAAAGTTTTGCCAGGTCGCTGTGGACAGGGGGAGTCCCTTGTGTGTGCAGCCCAGTGGGTGTAAGAAGCAGCACCCCACTATACCCACTGGATCAATTTCCTGGTGGCGGAGCCAACTTTGTATGCATACTATGGTGCCTTCCTCTTTCTGCTGTATCTAGCTCCAGGAGGGATAGCTGGGGCCTGCAGGTCAGCCAGAGAACCTGGGTGGAGCTCCCGCCCACTGTCCCTATTCAGGGGACACATAAACATGGCGCTCACTTGTTCCTCCGGTCCTGTGTTGTTTTCTTAGCTCCCAGAGAGCTGTCATGGTACCCCAATCTTCTCTATGTGGTCCGTTTCTCTTGCTTGTGTAGAAGCTGTTCAGTTGGTTCACTGTTGTCTCTCAAGAGGAACTATTCTAAACACAGATGTACATTTTGATGTGTTCTTGGAAAGAGGCAAGCTCAGCGTCCACCTACACCACCATCCTGGGCCTGCCTCTCCGACTTGAAAGCTTTTTATTTGCATTTTATCTACTGATTCTCAGGACAAGCAATACTCAAATTGGGGCACTCCCACTATTTCATCATTCAGGTTTTGGTTTGTTTGATGATTATTCTTATTTCTCTTAGAGAACCTTTTACTATTAGTTGGTTTATAACCTGTGAATATTATCTATTGAATCAACTGCTTAAGAGAGGAAATTGGCATGCTTACACAACCCTGTACACCTTTTCTCCCCCTAATTTGGTAAAACTGCTTTATTTCTACACTGGCATGGTGTATAATGTGTGTTCCATTTTATAACCATAATTCTCCCACAAAGGGAGGCTTGGTTATATTTTTCTGACATTTATACAGCACAGCTAAAAGAGCATATTATAAGGAACACTTGTATAACCATTACCTAGGTCTCATCATTAACCTTTTACTATACTTTATCACCTTTCTCCACCCATCAAGCTATCATATATGTGTGTGTATTTCAAAGTAAGATGAAGACATCTGTACACTTCCCCCTGAATATGTCAGCATGCATCTCATTAACTGCTCAATATTTATTTACTGTGTTCTTTTTCTGGTATAAAATTGATACACACAATGAAATGCACAGTTTTTTTAAAAACAAAACAAAACATGTTCAATTCTCACCACCCTTTTACTGAATTTTTCTGTTGATATCTTGGCTGGTAAATGTGTCTTCTTTGTTCTCTTCAATATGAACTCCTGGGACATATAATCCCTGAACTGTGCATGTTTGAATGCATCCGCCCTTTAATTTTATGCCTGAGTGACAGTGAGTGGGTTTAAAACTCCTGAGTCCTAGTCTTCTCCCTGGAGGATTTTGGGGACATTGTTCTCCTGGAACACTGCTGTCGAGAAGTTTTCTGACCTATTTACCCTTTACACAGGTGATGGGATTTGGTGGTTGGTTTGTTTGGTGATTTTTGCCTGGATCCCCACAGACTCCTTGCAGTCTAGCTTAGTGCTTCCCCAACTTTAACGAAGGTGTGAACCACGTGTGGGTCTTATTAAAATGCAGATCCTGAGTCAGGAGGGCTGGAGTAGGGCCTGAGATCCTGACTCTCCCAAGCTGCTCTGTGGACAGTGGGGAAGAAGGCAGTCTCTGCTGACAGACTGTTAGAATGTACTGGAATCTGCGTGCTCCATGGTGTCTGGGGAGGCTGCCAGGCAGCCCGTGCCCTCACGAACATGGTTCCAAGCAAAGTGGGGCTGCTGCACTCAGCATGTGCCTCCGGATTTGGAGAAGTGGGCTCTGTCCCCTCTGCCTCCAGCTCTGTGTACCTCCCCTCACTGCCCAGGTCTCGTGGTTACAAGCAGCCCTTCACGTATACTGGGAATTGGGACTGAAAGGTGTTTGCCAGTTTCACCAAAAACAGGGTTTGTTTCTAGTTGTGTCACAGAGGAAAGGGAACTAGAGACTTCTTTTCAAGTAAGAGCAGTATGTTGGCTTAGGGAGAGTAGAGGAGGCCTGGACAGCTGGGAGAACACAGGGTTTGAGGTCAGACATTCCTAGGTTTGGATCCAGCTGCGGTCTTACAGGTGTGTGACCTTGAGCAAGTTCATTAACATCTCTAGGCCCCAAAGTTCCTATTTAAAAAGCGGAGGTGATAAAACCTCTCTCACTGGGTTGCTATGAGGATTAAAGGGGAAAGAGTTTAAGGCACCTCACACAATAAATGATGTTTTCCTTCCTTCCCGAGCTCCAGCTGGCTTAAAAGCTTAAGCGCATCCCTAATGACAATGGGCAAAGTTTATTTTTGAGTTCAGAAGGCCCCCAATGCCTTCTGCACAAAGGGGTTGTTCACTGTATTTCATTTTCTCCATGAATATGGATGTGCCAGGCATTGTCAGAAGCTGGAGAGTCACAGTTTCCATCCTCCTTGAAGTTGTATTCTTTGTTTTTTAAATCTCCAAGCTAAGCCATAGCATTTTCTAGATGACTCGACACTGTGGTGGCAGGTAAGAAGGGTGCATCAGCTCTGACCTCCCCAAGGCACTGGGAGGGGCTGTCCTGTCCCTTAGCCTTCCTGGGGACATGAGTAACAGCAGGGGGAGTCCACATGCAGGGTGGACATTTACCATAAAAAGGAATTGGTCCTAAGCCTTATTTATTTTAAAAGCGGCAGATTACAAAGTTAAGAACTGTACCTAAATTGCTGGGTTTAATGTAGTGGGCAAGTTAACCAAGAGGGGTTGCGCAACATCAGGCCTCTGGGACTTAGCATTTGTTATCCTTACTAGAGTAAATTAGGAAGTGGGGTATTTCTAAAGTACTAAAAAGCAGGCAGTTTAAACATTTCTCAGATTCTTGTTTAATCTATTCATTTGCTTAGGAATTTGTTTCCTTGACGATAATAAGATGGGCAGCCTCAGTCTAGCTCAGTTTTCTCAAGTGCCATCCTGGGATCCATCTGAGGAGCTGGCTAAACACACAGATTCCTAGGGCCCAACCTGGACCAGCTGTATCCACACCTAGGAATGGGCTCAGGGACCTGCATGTTCTAACCAGACTCCCCAGTGATGATCAGACTTATCATCTAAAAAATGTAGGGAATATCCAATATGTTCTACGTTTAAGGCAGGGGGGTGGGGGGAGGAAGACCCCCCCAGGACCAAAAGTTTCCAAAAAACATCGAGAAAAGAATGCTTAGAAAACAGGGAAACAGTGACCTCATGAGGAATCCAGAAGGATCTATATGATCTAATGTCTCAGATACTAAGAAAGGGGAAGAAGGGAATTCAAATCAAGGGAGGGTCTGTTTAGCAACATTCCACATAAAATCCGGCAGGAAAGTGAATTAGAGAAACTATACAGGAAGCGGCACCAAGCTCATCTGCCCCACATCTCCTGCCTGGGGGAGTCTGTCTGGCCTGGAGCTGTGGGACTCAGTCTCCTGATTCCCAACAGCTGGTCACATGACCCAGCTTGGTCCCAGGCAAATATAAAATGCCCCTTCTCAAAGTATAAGGGGTTTTGTGTTTTGTTCAGCATGGAAGAAAGTTACTACTGGGAGGGAAAAAACCATCCTGTGGAAGAGGCAAGTGAAGCCCTGAAGCTTCATCAATTTGCCCAGCTGACTCGGAAGAGGCAGACTTATGACGGTAATTCATTCCACTGCTGAGGCCTGCTCCTTCCCGGCCAGGGAGCGGGTGGGAAGCCCAACCAGATGCTAGCCCCTGGCTGAGGACAGGCATCAGCTTCCAACCTTCCCAAATGAAATCAAACCACAGTGCCAGGTGGAAAATCAACTCGCAGTCCAACTTCGTCACCTTCCCCGTGCCTGTGCTGGATGAGGGCCTGGGCGTGTGCCAGCCCACGGGAACTACTATGAGATCAGCTGCCTGAGCCCCCTAATCGGTTTTGCAGCGACTTCAGAAAAACCAGGAAAAATGCGTTTTCATTCTTTTTAATCCAGCAGCACAGACCACAGAACAATGCTAGCCCAAACCGAACCCCTTAATGAGAAGCCGCTTACCTGACTTGATTCCTTTAATGGGGTAAGTAGCATGCGCGAGAAAGTTGGGGTCGCTGAACATATCTTCCTCGTACACCACAAAGCGCAGAAATGCCAGGTTTGGGTCATAGATTTCAAATGTCACCTTCTCCTGCGTTGAAGCCCAAACAGGGCTTAGGCCATTGTCATCTGGAAGGTGATCAAAGCTTATTAAAGACGCCATTTGGGAAACTAGCTTTACATTCATCAGCTGGGCTTTGAATCTCCTTAGCAACTGTGTAAATATGCAGCTAAGAAAATAGGAATAATTTTTTTTCCAGTAGCAACTGTGGTAAAGCGGTTGTCACAGGCCTGAGTAAGGTGGGGGGAGACCCCTTTATACAGCTCCCATCTCAACTCCCCAGGATGCGGAAGGGAACAGAGGCCGCAGCAGAGAAGGAACAGGTGGGCACGGAAGAGCTGAGAGGGAGAGAGGGTGGGTCAGGCTGACTGAAGAGGTAGAGCCAGCGTGGGTCTGTGGTTGTCAGGGGAGAACCTGCCACCCTCCACAAATGCCAGTTTCACTGGTTCGCGTGTGAGCTGCCACTGAGCCACCTTTCACCAGGCACAGTGACCCCAGGCCCAGTTCACGGTGTCTTCCTGGCTTAAAGTGGAAGCACAAGCATTTCCTAGGCCTCCCTGCCCTCTGTGGGTCAGGTATCACATCCTCTGTGTCTCTGCTCCTGTCCTGGGCTAAGGAGATGAAGCGGGTGGGGCTGTGGCACAGAGCAAGGGCCCTGCTGCCCGAGTTACGGGCAGAGCATCGCAGCACGGGGCACAATCCGACTAATCACGTGGTCCTCTGATTCCCCTCCCTAAGCTGAACCACAGTGAGCAAAAGGGACGAAGGAAAAGACACGGCCAAGCAAAGTGCCTTACAAACCCCCCAACATGTGACTCAACTCGCTTAAAGTTTAAGAGAAGGATGTTCCCTGGCGACTTACTCACAACCGTCGTCTTAAACTTGTTGTTGTCATATTCGGCTCCACATATTTCCACCTCCACAAAGGGACATGCAATACTTCGTCCGAGCTTGGGGAGATGGCGAGCCCCGAGAACCTAGGATACCACAGGTGAGTACGGGAATTCTCCCAGACCCGTCCTGGGAAGAGCTAACAAGGTCTGCGTGGGTGGGCTGGCAGGGAGCTCGGGTGGGTTCTAGCGTCAGACCACATGAGTTCAAACCAGCCTCCATTTCTTCACTGGAGAAGTCCTGACAACCTTGTCAAGTGGATCCCACCACTGTTTCCTTCTCGTGGATGAGAAGATGGGGGTGGATTCCTACAGCTGTTAGGACAGGGGTGGGGAACCTTTTCTCTGCCAAGGCCCATTTGGATACTTATAACATCATTCGCGGGCCTTACAAAATTATCAACTTAAAAATTAGCCTGCTATATTTGATCAAACATTTCATTAACTACCCCCTAATGCCTTGGCAGGGCCAGACGTTCCCCACCCGTGTTAAGGTGAGCTGGGAGCAGAACGCCCAGGCCATCAGAATCAACAGGAGGACCTCACCTGAGCACAGAACACATCCACCCATGCCCAGGTGCGCACCCACAGAGAGTGTCGAATCACTTGATTCCCAGCTCCCAGAAAGGATGGGGGAGCGTGTGTGGTTTTCCTTTAAAGACCTTTGGTTGCAAAAGCTTCATTTTTTCCTCTCCTTAATCTTATGAGAAATGCAACTTTTTTTCTACCTTGCATAGTTTCCAAAGGAAGAAAAAACAAAAATTCTTACAAAGAGACAATACATTCTCTGAAAGTTGAGTCTCTTAAATTTTAAAAAGCTTTCACCCTTAAATATGGCCATTGTGGGGACAAACACTCCCCTCCATAAAGACCAAACGTCCGTTTTCCCACATGCTTTCTTTTCCTGGCCAGACTCTGTCCTCGCTGGGACCCAGGAGCTGCCCTCCTGAACCCTGCAAGAGCTGGATTCATACCTAGCCCCGCAGGTGACATGGGTAAGGTGTCCAAGATGGATTTGAGAGGGTCTCCCTTCCTCCCCGGGGGTGCACTGTAATTTAGATCCTCAAACCATGTCTGGGTGGTGATGGTTTAAACCAAATGACAGGCGTCGCTAGACCCTGGTTCCCTGGGCGAGGAAGGAGAGTGTGGCCTTACCTTGACCGTCAAGGTCATCAGAATCTTCCTCTGGGACTCGGGCGGCATGGGGTCGTACTTCTCCGTCCTCATGCTCTCGGGTTGCAGGACGTAGCCGGTCCTCCCATTGAGTGAAAACAAGGCCTGATTCATCTGCATGTATTTGTCTGCGAAGGAAAGGGCACTGCTGATGGAGGTTGGGCAGGAAAAGGCTGGCCTCCTAGGCCCGGACGTGCCAGGTGGGGAATGATTTGCTCATTTTAAGCCGGTTGTTTAGATATCTAAACTCAAAATATGGATTTTTTAAAAATCCATTGAAAACTCATATTACTGGGAGAAAAATGAGCTTTTTACAAAAAAATTCTCAGACTGGGAAACACCTTTCCAAGTATGAAACATTAAAAAAAAAACTACTCAAAGCTAAATACGTCTACATAGGAAAAAATTTCCACAAAAGTTAAGATGTGCTGTGGTAAGAAAAATCCTAACTCAAATGACAAGTAAATATAGGGTGTCCCCCAAAAATGTATACACACTTTGAATAATTATTCATTCCAATGGGTTAAATCTGAAAAGAAAAAAACATAAACATCAATTGAGCTATCAGAAAAAAAGTGTGTACATTTTTTTGGGACACCCTGTCCATATAAAGTTAACCTACTAAGAGCTCTGATACATGTGAGCGATAAATACCTACACCCCATTAGAACAGCTGGGTCAGAAGCGTGAACATTTTGTAGAAGCGAAAAAGCCAGTGCTTCCTAAATACATGAGAAACTGGCTCCTGTGACTCATAAGAGCAGAACCAATAAGGGAAGCTTCAATGACAGGTGACGGCAGTTTTCATCTATCACTCAGGTGGGCGAAGATTGGAAAGTGTGATAAAACTAAGTTGGTGGAGTCGTGCCAGAGGATGTATTCAAATGCGTTACCAGTTGGAAATCGCACGCACCATCTCTAGGGAGGCGTGTGGCCGAGTGTCTCAGCGCAGGCGCCACTGGATACAGGTGTTCAGTGGTTGTCCTCAGGGCCAAGTTGATCAAAATGCTAGTGACGTTTGACGCTCCCTGCCTGCCTGAGAATTGTCTGGCAGATGCAGTGTCGCATCTGTGACGCGATGCTCACAGAAGGTTACAGAAGGCAGTGCCATCTGGAATAGCAAAGGATGGGGAGTACCCTAAATGTGCCTCAGTGGGGGGCGGCTGAATAAATGATGGTTCTAGTCAGTGGAATCCTACACGGGCATAAAAGCAATAGAGAGGGCACTACTGACGAACAGATCCCCAAAAGAGGCTTAACCAACACCTAAAGTGCAGAACACTGTAATTTATGTTACCATTTGTGAAAAGGAGTTGTGCATGCTGGTTTTTCCCAGCATGTAGTCCTCAGAGATGCACCAGGAAGGGAGGAAAGCGCTGAAAAAAGTCACTGAACACCTTGATCCACTGTGCCTGAAGCTGATGCAACCCCTGAGCTTTTTAATTACATGAGCTAATGCATTTCCTTTCTCTCTCAATCCAGACTAACTCAGTGTTGCCACTTGCATCATGGAACCTGCCAAATACAAGTGCCTAGTGTCAGGCATGCTCATCAGTTCCCTCAATCACTCTATTCAACTGATGGACCTCACCCTAACCCTAGCATGCTGGTTGAACCCGTTCCTCAGATCACATGTTCGGACACCACATCCCACCAGTGGCCCCAGCAGACTGCCTGGACTGACACCACCATCACCTTAGATTTAGTGGCCACAAGGAGCGCCCCCTTACCTCCAGTCTGGAAATTGAGTGCCACCATTTGGGAGCCGCACAGCCAGAGGCGGAAGGGGTCGTAGTTGGAGGAGTCCACCCTCTGTCCCTTCGGGTAAACACGGGTCAGGCCCTTCTGATTGTACTTCAGGAGCTCAATGGGTTTCTGTCTGATGACGCTGTCGGCCTTCGTCTCCACAAAGGAACGGATCTCTCGGAAGTCGGGATTCTCTGCAGACAGCGACAGAGGCACTGTTTATTTTGTGTCTCCTGCATTTCCTTCATGCAGAGGCTTATAAAATGAAACCAGGAATCTCTGGGACAGGACGCGCACGTGGTTCTGATGATATTGCCCTAATTGGGACTGCTATGGGCTCCTGCGCTTCTGGGAGCCTAGCTATTAAAAGTGCCAAGTGTTCCCCCAACCTTTTCATCTAGGTTGTTTTCTTTTTAAAATTACCAGCAGCCTTGCACAAGAAAACAAAAATGGTACAATTATAGAAAGGGGGAATGGCCTCAGGGATCAGCACGTAGCAGGAGATCATAGGAGTGGCTTCCTCATCAAAGGTGATGTAGATACAGGCGAGTAAACCAAGCCTCTTGGTGGGAGAATGGAGTGCCCACAGGAAGAGCTGAGAAAGAGGAGGGGGCAATGAATGGGCGGAGAGGGATGGGAATATGCAAACAATTCTTTGTTGGATGAAGCTTTGCTACTTCATATCCAGCTGTGGTGGGACAGCCCATAAACCTACGGAGTGGAGGTGCCTCCCAGTGACCATTAACTCAGGGGTTTAGTACTGTTTCTCTGGTCCCTGGTCCTGGAATCACAATTTCTTGAGATCAAAGATAGGATCCCCTCAAAGAAAGGGGGAAGAGAATGTGAATGGGTTCATTCTAAGATCAAAGAATTGGTTACTTTAGAGAATTTGGTAGAAGAGCCATTTTTTAATCCTGTACTGTATACTAGCCCCCAAAGATCCTGATCCCTGGAACCTGTGAATATGCACCCTTTTATGGCAAAAGGGACTTTGCAGATATAATTAAATTAAGGAGCTTGCCATGGGGAGATTATCTGCACCCTCAATGTAACCCAGGGTCCTTGTAATAGGGACATATTTTTACTACATAGAAGAGAAGGCCATGTGACTGAGAGGCAGATTGGAGTGATGCAGCCACTAGCTAAGGAATGCTGGCAGCCACCAGAAGCTGGAAGAGACAAGGAACATATTCTCCCCTGGAGGGAGTGGCTGAAATCTGCCCACACCTTGATTTCAGCCTAGAGATACTGACTTTAGACTTCTGGCTTCCAGGAGGCCAGAGAGTATAAATATATGTTGTTTTCAGCCACCAAATTTGTAGTTAACAGTAGAAAACTAACAACCTTCCCTCTGAGAGGGTTTTCCTCCTCAAGCTATCAGGAGGGCCTGTCACGAGCACCGTGGTCCTAAGGACTAATTCAGGGGAAGCGCCACCAAGAGCAGTTCAGAACAAGCAGGAACCACACTCACTGTGCCCTCTAACAATGCCAGACTCAAAGAGGAAATGCGTTTTCACTGTGTCCGGAGGCAGTCAGGGGAGACAGTACCTAAATTATCTTTGGTCTTGCTGGTTGGTTTGCAGTAGACGACCAGGTCCGAGAGCTCGATGGCGATCGACTGGTTCTTCTCCCAGTATTTCATGTTGTTCTCCTGTTGGGGGCCAACTGTCTTTAGTGTCAGACCTCAAGCCAGCACCTGCGAAATCCCATCGCCCCAGCTCACCGGGCATGCCTTCCTCTCCTCTGCTTCCCCTCTCGCTCCTCTGGGCCCTCCTGCATGCTCAGATCTTTGACGCGGTTGAATGTTTTCCTTGCCCCTGCCCCTCCTCTCTTTCCTTCCTCTTCCTGCCGAAATTCTTGACCAAGTTGTTTCCACCCAGGATTGGTGTCTGTCACCACACCACTCTCCTTAACCCTCTGCTCTCGACTTCCTGGCCTGTCCCTTCCCCTAAAACCACTGTTACAGTTCGTCCAATTCTAGTTCTCCAAGCCCATGACCTCATGTCCTCCTGGGCTCTGCAGACCACAGCATCCTTCTTAT